TAATGAGTCATGTACTCTCAACTCCTACACAATTCACCATAATCACTTTTTCTCCTGTAAAGGAAAACAAGTTTTTTTTTTTAAACTCTTCATGGACAGCTAGTTTTCTGTCTCTACCTCACTGTTCATTTTCCAAGCCTAGAAAATTGCATTTAGTTCAGCTTTAACTGGCAGTGCATAACACTGAAGAAACTTCAAGGCAGTGACTCTTTTGCAGAAGAGGGAAAAACCCGTCTGCAGCCCCACAGCATTCAGCTGTCCTTTGGGACAGAGATCCTTAGCCTGAACCACTGGCACAGTATTCTCTCTTAAGGCATCTTGACTTTGCAGTGTGTTTCCTTAGTAGGTCACAATAGCCTGCATCTGCTCTCTTTCTGGAGATGTTTCAAGAGCCATCTGTTTCCCTATCTGCCCCTTGCAGTCATGCCCGCGAGCAGAGACCTGAACGCCCAGGTGTCAGCGGGGCCCACGGCAGTTGCAAAGTCTCTCTGGTGGAAGCAAGCACAGGAAAGCTTGAAGATTTACCATGAGCACCTGAAGCTTGTGGATGGTCAGATCCTGGACAACCCATTTTTATGCAACAGCCACTGACTTGGCTGGTTCGCTAAAGAGCTCTGAAAGTAAAGGCTTGTGTCTCAAACGCGTGGTGTAAAAAGCAGGCTCTTGTACCCTCTGTGGATGGAGAAGGAGGGAGATGAACATGCTATGTGCATGTATGTGTTCTTTTATTGCACATGTGTGCTCTGTGTTAGACCTGTGTTTGAAAGGAGTAAGGGAGGCATGGGAGCAAAAACGGCTGTACTGGCAGCATTCAGTTATAAAGATCTTTTGTAAGTTTTTCTAAATTAAGGGAAACATTTACAGTTCCTTTCTTTCAGTTTCCCATCTCCCTTGCAGTGTTACATCCATTCAGACAATTGTAATGGGACTCCAGCTGTAACTCCAAAAGCTCTTAAGAGAGGCAGGCAGGCAATCAAACTCCATAAATTAAGATATGTGTTTTAAAAGCTTATGAAATCCCACTTTTTTTTTTTAAACATTTATTTCATGAATAAGATAGGTAGCGTGACCCAGAATGCCAGGTTTTGAAAATCCATTTTTAGATGTTACATCTGTCATTTGTTGTTTGCAGTTCTGAAGTTGCCTTTATAGGTGGTTAAATTGCTCTTGGGTTCTTACAAAAATGGAAAGAAAAAATTACTTCTTCAGAATTAAAGAACTCCCCCAAACCCTTCTACTTAGATTTTATTCTGAGAAATATCTCTACTAGTTGTGTTCATATTAATAATGTATATTTCATGTGTGTATTTTCTGTGGCAAAGAATTCGTACTTTGATCTAGTGATTCTGCCTTGTGATATTTACAGCACAAAACCCTTTTTCTTAAAAATTTAGGGGAAATCCTGATTTTACATATACTTTCATCGGTCTGAAAACTAAATTAACAAGATCCTTTTCAAATCTTTTATAATATATTTTAGATTTATTAATATAATCCTGTAAAAATTAAAAAGAGCACTTTATAGCAAGGACATAAATCCTTAAAATATTTTTACTTAAAAATTGTTTTAATACCTCAAAGGTAAACCACAAGGGGCCAAAGCCTCTTTCACTATCAATGCATAGATTTAAACTAACAATATGTTTTGAATTTTGTTCTCCAGCTATGTGCAACCTGATTAAGAACATTCTTTCTTCTTTAATGTATACAATTGAACACTGGCTTTGTAGCATTGGATAGAGGTAACATTGCAGAGCAGATCAATTCAGTCTATAGTTTTTTTTTTTTTAATTAAGCCTTCAGATTGTAAATAATCTTGGTATACTGATGTATTTTCTCAGAGGTGCCGTTTTTAAAAACGGTTGAGTCCTAAATCCTAATACTGAAAATACTTATGCATGTGCTTTTAGCAAAGATTAGCTTTCCCATTGACATGTGGCATTAGCTGACATTTAGTTCAGTGTGTACTTTTGTGGGAATGAAGCCACAGTCCTTTCTTGATAAAACTCTCTATTGATGTCCATGTAAGGTTAACTGAAAAAGCTCAGGAAGTCCAGATAAATTATGTGGCTCACTGTTGTCCAAATTAATTCTAATTTTTAATTTATAACATAACTATGGAGAGGAATAAACCTCTCTCTGTATATAAATTCTTCAATTATTTTTGAAGTAAGCATTAGCAGGAGAAGTCCTTTTCTATCTATTAGAGTTACTGTTTATTCTGAGAAACAGCATGGACCAAATTCTTAAGTATGTCCAAATCCACAGATGTGTATATGCATAGGGCATCTTACCTATATATATTTCCATGAACTTGGCAATGTGCATATATATGTGCATGCATGCACAAAATACCTTAGAACATATCAATCATAGTCCTTGATTGAAAGGCAGTGAATAAAAAGATACTTTTCATTTTTTAAGTTGAAAAATTTTAGAAAAGGAATTTATGAGGGTCAGTCACAGGAGGGTTTCCAGAAGAAGGGGAGAAGCAAACCAAACTAACTGACTAAATACAACAGCAGCAACGGTAACAGCAACAACAACAATGACGACGAAATAAATTATAATTGATGACTCTGGCTGATGTCATTTTGTTGCAAGGAATCACAGGTATCCAAAAAAAATCAGAATATAAAAATTCTTGAAAAAATCTATTTTGTAAACATGGAACACAGTATAAAACATCAATTCTTATGTAGATTTTTGACTAGCAACTTAGTCCTTTTTTGGGTGATGAGACTTCATAGTACGTGGTGCCTCTGAAAGTTTTGCCCAGCATGATACTTTGAAGATTTGGCTTACAAGAGTTATAAATCAATTTTTGTTATGCTGAGCTGTTAAAAGCGTGTGCAAATTCTATATAGGAATGGTTGTTAGATTGTAGCTGATGTCTCCAGTTTATATACTGATGTAGTTTGCAATTGCTAGTGTTACCTGTGCTGCAATGCCTGTGTAGCCCTATGCTAGTAAAATCAGAAATCGTGATCTATTTGAGGTAGGTACTGTGCAAACTTTTGCTTTTCACTCTGTCACTTTTCTATAGAAAACTATTTTGTTTTCTCTGTGAATTTCCTTACTTCTTCTTTGCCCTGAGTCTCATTACAAGGCATTGGTTCCCCTCTGTGTTTATTGAAATTACACCTCAGTAGAACTCTGACCTCAGTAGATTCACACAGAAGGAATAAAATTCATTCTAATTGTTCCTGGTTATCCTTTTCAGTTTCTAGATTGCTGATTTCTCTTCAGTGTGAACTGATTCTGTCTGTACAGGGAAAATTCCTGTGTCACCTAGCCACTTGGCATTTTAGGGCCTATTTCCCGGTTTATTGAATAAAGAACAGCCTGGGCTCAGGTCCTGGTTTCAGAACCCTGGAAATGAAGCAATGTGAACCTTAATCTGAACTTCCTGACTCAGGTACAACCTGAACACAGAAGTGGCACAAAACTAGGGTAAGCATGCCCACTCTAGCACAAAGCATTTGCACCTCTGGGAATGATTAATGTCTTAGGAAGGGTAACTCCATTCCTTTTAAAATGTTGTTCAGTTTTTTTTCTACTCAAGGAAGTGTTGAGTAATGCATTACTACTGATGTGCTTTCAATATCGTTTTAATGAATTCTTTTTATGGCACATGTTTTTCCTTCTTTCATGCACCACTGATTGCAGTACATTTGAAATGTATCGAAGGCAGCAGTTCTCTCTAAATCATGTCTTGAGCTAAACATAATCAGGAGAAAGAGAATTATCTAAAAAAGTATTACTTTTCAACTCTTGATTTTTGCTTCAGAAAATCTGAATATACCAGAGTAGTCTCCATAAAACTGATGTCTCTGCTTTGTGGTCTCCTCTACATGAATCAAAGTAAATGAAATAAAATAGTGTGGTGTCCAGAGCCTTTGCTCCAGCTTTTTTAGTTCTGCCTCTGCAGAGAATTCCTGTCAGCCTTGAATTTCTGTGATGTATTGTGACAAATGCTGCCTTGCTGTGTTTTCTGCCCCCGCTGGAGTCTCCATGGGATTAGAGATCACGTGCTACCTTAGCTTAATGTTCTTGACCTTTTTCAGATGATTGACACTGCTGAATGATTACAGCAAAGCAGCAATTATCCACTAGCTGTGTTAACGTTCATTTCAAGGAGAAAATAAATGTTATTTGAGATGAGTAATTTGGAATATGTGTTTCTGCTGAGTAAATGTAGGAGACCTGCGCATAGTGAGTCATGATTCCTTTCCCGTTTGTTCTATTTCATGGTGCTTTCTGTACGTTTCCCCGGTACTCTCTCCCTTCTGTGTGCTTTACTGTGCTCTGATCCTGTTAGCCCACATCGCTAAGAAAGCTAAATCTTTTGGGCTTGATCAGCAACATAAAATTCCTCAGGCTCAAAGGGCCAAAGATGGAAGCAAGCATGGCAATGTGTGTCTCTTATTTAATTTGTTCAATGAAATAGCAGAAAAAATGAAAGCACTCTAAGCTACCAGCTACGTATTTATGATTCAGGCACATAAAGTTTTGTAGGGATTTTGCAGTCTAGTTTTCATAGTGTGTTTTTTTTTTTTTTCCCTCAGTGAATTTTCCCCCTTCCTGTTAAGGTTTGGCTCATAAATAGCTTTGAGTTCTGTAAAGTTCCTGCACACACAAAGCAAACAGCAACTTTTTCAAATGTTCCGTGAAAGAATTCCATGTATTTGTTAATATTACTAGTCTGGAGAACACATCACAGAGTACCTCTCTGGCTTTGTACAAAGCTCATATGTAGAGATGCAAAATGGAATTAAAAAAATCTGGCACTTCATTATGTGAACTTCTATACTGGCATTTTCTCCTGTATTCGGAAGTTGTAAATCTGTGATACTACATCATCATTATTATTATAATTAAGCCTATTACAACTATTAGTTATAATAGTGTTTCTACTGTTATAATCTAATGTTGCTATAGTTGTCAATACTGTTCTTATTTTGCCACGGTTCCTTTTTAAAAGGTAATTTTCTTTATAGGCCACCGAACATTGTTCATTGGAGTTCATGTGCCACTGGGTGGAAGAAAAAGTCACCGACGTCATAGACACCGTGGACATAAACACAGAAAGAGAGACAGAGAGAGAGATTCAGGATTAGAAGATGGGCGAGAGTCTCCTCCTTTTGGTAAGATAAATTATATTTTTGCAGAGATCTTTTAATAGTAAACATCAGTATGGCTATGCACGCTCTGTCCTCCTCTCAGTGTTTGGACACTTAGGAATGAGGCTTTGGGTACCTGACACCACAGCCTCCCCAGGCTGGAAAGCCAAGACTGGTTCCTCTGCTGAACGGCAGCAGCCAGCTGCAGAGAATACCTGGGAATTTGCAGTAATTCCTACCGCTGCAGGAGACCGTCCTTGAGTGTTCACATTAAGGCAGATTGCTGCTACCACCAAGAGCAGGAAGTACTTGATATTGCTGAATGGCACAGCCGTGCTCAGGGAAGGCTCTGGGTACTTGCCTCTGAAACGTAGCACAAAGGAGCTGTGGTTCTTTACGATTAGTTTTGTACTGATGTCGATGTCACTGAAGCAGCAGTGTTTTATCAGGTATGAACTGTGATCCAGATTCTGTTTGCCTTTTTCCTTATGTGATACTGTAACATGCCATTGTGAGATTAGTCCACTAACTGAAGACTTGAGAGCAAACACGAAGAAAACTTTTAATAAACAAACCTCACACATTAAACAAAACTCCTAAAATGCTCCAGTTCTTAAATTCAAAAACACTACAAAGAGCAAAAAAAGGTAGTCATGAATAAATTGGTCAAGCTTTGTCGTAATCCATGTGAGAATATTACTTGCTGTTCAAAAATAAAAAGTGCACGTGCTGAAATTGTGTCCAGTGCTCTTATAAGTGCTGAAAGTATAATGGAAGCATATATAGGAAACCATTTGTCAATGTGCAACAAAAGAATATTTTAAAATCATTAGGGCCAATGTAATTTTAGGTTACAGAGTAGTAATTATAAGACTATTTTAATCTGAATTATGTATTATGTATGTAGAAATCTTTGGAGCAGGTGTATTTTAAATGGTTAACTGTATTGTAAAGAGTTGAAATACTTAAATCTTTCACAGTAAATTATTCTGAGGAAAAGAAAAAAAAGAAAAAGCCAAGACTGTTTTTCAAACCTAGTAGATACATATTTTGAAGAACAAACACTGAAGGAAAGGTTGGCTGAGGTGGGTCTGCCTGGAATGTGTTTAGAATATATGAAGTCACCTATATTGAAGCCAGTTTCTTGGAAAACAACAGTGAGTTCATAAGTTATTAAAATAGCTTTAAAAAGGAATGTGTATGTATACATATAATGACAGATTAAAAAGAAACAATCAAAAGTTACATTAGCCAAGAAGTGAGATATCTTAAACTATGAAGCTATGTCTTCTGTTGAGTCATCCGGTTTTATTTAGGTGCCAATATGTGACACATCCTTGCTGAAAACTTTGTTCTGTTCTTTCAACTTCTAGAAACCTAGGCTTGTGTCCTTCCTAATGTCAAAAGTAAAAATAAATGGAGCTGTCCTTTTATAGTCTTTGACACTGTGCATATGATAAAATACGTTATTCAGGCTGATTCTGTCCTTTTATAGTCTTTGACACTTGTGCATATGATAAAATACGTTATTCAGCACGATTTTCTATTAGTGAGAATCACAGCCTCTATCACAGCCTGTTCAAGAGAGCTCCAAGAGTAGAATAGCGGTAATATTAAAATTTGGTTCTGAAGCGCATATGTAAGTTGATATTTACAGCACTTGTCTACAGGTGTGCTTGTTTGAGATTAGTGCAGGACTGCATTGTTTTAAGTCAGATATTCACTTAAAAATGAATGATAATTACCACTTAAAGGATGAGTAGATCATAGCACATAATTTATTCCTTTTATAATGCCTAGGACAGAGAAGATTAATGGCTAGGCCAGAAACAGGACAGTCATCTTCAGATTGAGAATGCAGAAGATACTCTTTAAAATGCTTGAGTGATGACAGTGGTGATTCCAAAGAGCCAAGGACAGACCTAGCAAACGTTCAGAAAAATTTGGAAAGACCCAATTTTTAACATGGAATTATGTCTAAGTAGTAGAATTTGAGGATTTTTTTCTTCTCATCTATCCAGACTCCTGGACGTTTGGCTAGAGAACCAGACTCTGACTGAGCTTTGAGATACATCCGCCCAAGCAGAAAGATGGCATCCCATAGACAGCAGTGAACAGGCTTTTCTTGTGAAGGCAAATCTTAAAATTTTACAGTGATAGAGGGGTTAAGTGTGGTCAGAGTAGGCAGGCAAAATCTTACTGGGATTAATTTTAGTCTGCATCCACATCCTTGCTTTTTCTAGAGATTTTCCTTATAGGAGTTTCAGGCAGCCTGTTGTGCTACCCTGGGCTAACCATCACCTATAGAGAGAATATACAGAATAGTTTTCCTATGCTTTTCTTACTGGGAAGGAGCAAAAGATATTATTATTTCCCTCACTGAATTGGGATCCATTAAGCCTCAGTAACCCTTCTGACCAGAAGGTTATAAGCAGTGCTCAGTAGCTGAAGAAAGTTGTTAAGAAGTGCACACAGTTTCTTCATATTCCTTATCTTTATGCCAAACTCAGTAGGGAGTTTGCTATTTTAGAGAGCAGATCTGAAATAGTCGCTTACTTTATGAATCATTCTAATTTAACTGAACATGCAGAAATGCTTAGCTCCCTCTCAGTGTAGAGCCCTTGTAAAGTCTTTCTGCCTAATACGAGGAGGCTATATTCTTTGTAATTGGAGGGGAAGAGGAGAAGAAAAAAATTTCAGCAACTAGCAGGTGCAAGAAGAAAGACAGAGCAAATAAGCACTATGAAAGATCAGGTGATAGAAGACAGTGCTTTGAAGTAAGTCAGAAAAGTAAATGAAGATTTTTTTTATGATACAAGAGAATAAATAACAATGCTTTGAAGCAGTGAAGCATGAAAGGAGATATTACAAAAGTCAAAGATGCAGCAACTGAATAATAGAGATGCTGGAACAAGAAAAGGCCTGAAATATTCAGACATGAAGTGCTCCAGACTGCTCGGTTAACCAAGCATGGAATACAGCCTTATTTTTTGTCATAGTTTATAACTGTATAATTTATAACTTCATCTGTGAGGCATCCTTAGGTGCAGTTCTTGCTCTATTGTCCCTCCTGCATTGAGGGCGCTGGTGAGGTGCACGTGGTATCGTGGGGCTGTGCTGGGCCCCACGTACCACGGGGGGGGGTGGAAGCTGCCCACCTGATTCCTATCCAATGAATTCTAGCTAATTTTTAAACAAATTTCTTTGTATCAGCATGGTTAGAAAACACCTGCATTCATTATAACGCCCATGATTGGAAGCTTCCTGGTAACCCTTTGAATCCTGGCTAGGAAAGCTAGACCAGCTGCTTTCTGAGGGATAGTTTCTGTGGGTAGTAGGTTTTTCGAGAATGTTTTGATGCCGGCTGATAAACCTTTTTTTTAAGTTTTCTACTGTTACTTTTCAAAAATAACCCACTTGTTCTCAATGTGTAGATTCAGAGTTTGTAGACAAATACTATATAAAGTAGTGAAATAAAAGGAGTGGAGTGCTGGGTAGCTATCTGGGAGATGGACTCCTTATTGAAAGTTTTCTTTTTTTTCTCACACCTGTGCCTTGTTGCTTGTCTGTTGCCTCTTAATAGGATGAGGTTGTATAAGGTGTTTCCATTTTGCCGAAACAATGTCCTTTGAATTGCATAATTTTCAGATTTCATGCCTTGGTCATGGAGAGTCTTTTTGAGTAACAGAAATTGTAAACTAAGTGATTTCAAAATCTTGCTTGCCAGCATCTTCCCTGGTAATTTGTGGAAGAGAAGAAATCCAGTGAAATTACCTACTCTCGCTAAAATGTTTTAATGCTGCTTGCTTTATTCAAGAAGTCTACCGTTACCGGCCGAAATACTGCTGTTATAATTAAGTCTCCAGTTTCATGACTACTTCAAACTAGCACTGTCCCTGAAAAGAGTGGCCCTGCTCTGCTCATACCTTGCTCCACAGCCTTCCTTGTGGTGGTGCAAATACTGTGGCTGCTCAGTGAATTAAATTAGGGAATTCATCTGAGTTGAAACTAATCTGGCAAAACCTCCTATTTGTAGCCTGGAGCGGCTCCTCCGTAGTGTTTGCTGGGACGGCCACGTGGGCCAGCACCGTTGAGCCACAGGGCCCCTAGCTGGTGGGTGCATGGTGGTGTGAAAGTATGGCACGGATTCCCCTTTGCCTGGTAGGGTTACACTAGCCTGGTACACACATGGATTTTAGTGACAATTTTCAGTGGTTTTCAATGTCTATTTTTTGCCTGTAACCAATGAAACAGGTCTCTTGTGCTAGCAATTTGGAGTTGAAATGGATTTATATTTCTGTTTTAAAATGGTGTGGAATAGGAGGGTTTGAGCTCTCTGCCATATGTCTTTAAGGACAGCTGTGCTGGTGAAATTGAACACAGCTGTGGGACTGGGGATTTGCTTTCAGCATCCTGTGGAGTCTTCTGGAACTAGAGTGTGATGAGGCTTGTGCAAGGTTTGGTTTGTTTTTCCAAAAAATCTGGCTTTAATAATTCTCTAATTTTAAAGAGACTTTAATGTGTAACTCATTATACCAGATGTGGCAAGGGAGGCTGAGTAGTCCTGGAGTTTCCTGTCCAAGGTGAGTCTAGCAGAGGACTTTATGCAGTGTTTCAGGAAAGGCTGTTGGAAGGTAATGCAAACAAAAAAGTGAATTTGCAATGTGAGACCTTCGCCAAGGGAGACTTCTCTCAGTTAGTGGAGGAGAAGGACAACAGAGGCTAGAAGAAAGCGTAATCAGAGAACCCAGCTGACTATATTCAGTACCTAATCTCAAACTGTGGTGGGTTATTAATGGGAAAAATCTAATTATTTGTAAATGGTATGATTCTTAAGAGAGTTCTCTTACCCTTAAATGTAGGCTTTGTCTGCTGAAGGATGAAATCAGAGGGAAGCTTGAATCTCTAGGCAGTTGTGGAACAGATTGCAGTAAATCTGGATTAAAATAGTGTATCATAGCTGCAGGTACAAGAATCTAGCAAAAAGGAGAGAAATAGAAGCTTGGGAATTGTTCCTATTGTCA